AAAGTAATTACATTTTTAAGGTTTTCACAAAACTATTTTTTCTCATAAAGTATAAAGGAAAAGTTTTTGGCGTTAATCAATCCCTTCTAAGGGATGCGCCCCAGCACTCCCACCGATTCATAGTGACGTAATGAGTGCGTATACGGGTCATACAATGACTTGTGGTGACCAGCCGATGTACAATCCAGTGCTTTTATCCTCCCAGACGAGCCTGGTACCAATTCACCTACCCTGGTGGAGGGATGTAAGGCTCGGTTGGGCTAGGCGGATATCGATCTGGGATTCGAACCCGTGACCATGCATGTGTGAAGTGCGCCACTTGCCACTACACCATTTCCGCCTAAAAGTTGCTATAAGAACAGCAAAATGATGTTTATTAAGGCAGGGGTAGATGGCAAGGGTGAGACTCCCGCGATTTCATCGGTGCCGGCGTGAGAACTAACAAAGACGTGTACTCAAGGAACATACTAATGAACGTAATTGAGCACTGATTCGACTCTGCTCCCCGATACAACGGACTTCCACCGGGCCGGTTCTCCAGCCCACAGGGCCAAGCCCGCGCGAGAGTGCTGCCGACGTTAGCTACCCGACTTCAGTAGCATAGAGGAGTGGCCATCCTGCTTACCAGATCCTAACATATTTGAATCTTCTGTATGGTAAGTGATCCGAAGGGGATCCGGTTCGCAGTCCAGTGTGGAGGAGGTAAAGGTAAAGGTAATGGTAAAGAACAAGCTTTGGGCCTCGATCCGCGGTCATGGGAAATACAGTGAAATGTGACTGGAGCAAATAGTTTTAGCAAACATGCATGGAGATTCCATTATTATTGTCAACCTAGAAGCATAGAATACACTGCCATGAATTCGTGCCCATAATTTTGGGACACCATGTACACCCACAAATGTGTTTTCATGTCTACGTTCCAAATCTGCAAAACGATTTTGGGGACGAAGTTACGAGAGCATTTTTCCGATATGATAGGCTGGCAAGAAGTCCTGCGACAAAATGGGGGCCTTTTTATAACATTTCTAAAATTTTTCAGATAACTCAATTTTCGGAAATATATTTACAAAAACTTTAAGAACCTTCTATTATCCCTTGAGCAAATCACTGATGCCTTTTGTCCAAGAGTGAGGAAGCTGTGTCTCAAAGAAGTAAGCGATCGCCCTTTCTGTTTTCAGATCACATTAAGTTACGAATTTCCTTTCCACAAGGTATGCTCAAGATGGCGGAGCACATTGAATTCAAAAGGAGCAACACTCTACTTGGAATCAAGCGGAATCGGTGAACTTTTGACGTGTGCCTGAAGCGAAATTTTACCAACCGGGAGGGATGGAAGGCTTGGTTGGCCTAGACGGATATTGATCCGGGATTCGAAACTGGATCGACATCCGCCTAGGCCAACCAAAGTAAACATGTGAAGTGCGCCACTTGCCACTACACCACCACGCCCGTTTATTTTTTTCTCATATTAAACATAACTCAATCAACAACATATAACCAGCTTGCTCGGGCATCTTTTGCTTTCCCTCAGACAAAGTCGTAGATTGCCCCTCGAAGAACTTCCGACATACGTAAAATTGATATGTTCGTCTTCGGTGAAGGATTTCTCACTAAAGGATTTTTGCAACGACTGAAATGAATAGGATTCGGATGTTGCGGAATTTGGCTAGGCGGTGAGTGAAGTTTATGATCAACTAAATTTCGATAATTTTTGCTAAATACCGAGAATATGTGCGGTTTGGCTACACCATCGCATATGATAACATTTTGTGACTCGCTGATTTTGGAGCACTTTTTCAACTTCTTCAAGACAGTCTAATGAGCAGAGGTCTATGTTAACAGTGTGCTACTTTGGAGACACTTCGAACTACATCCCACCCCACCAAATGGTGTCCTGACCTTCTTCTGATAAAGGTCAACTCGAGACCCTTGAGCAGGTTCGTCTTTTATTTACCATAATCGCTTGTGATTGTAAACATTCCGACTTTTGCCACTATCAGCCACTGTTCGCTTCATAGATGAGTCGTCTTCATTGCGTTTGAAGCTTAACATTTGGTTTTTTACCAGTAAAGTTTTCAGCGTTCTCATCAGCTATTCCCACGCATGCGTTAGTGTTCCCAGTACGTTCCTACATGGGTTAAATAAAAACCAGCTTTGGTAAGCACTATCGATTCGTAATCCATCCTTTCAGGTATCCCATCATGAAGTGATAAATTGCTGGGACGAAAAGTTGTGAATAGTGTTCACATGCACTCTGTAATAAGACATTGTAAACCTATGTTTTCCATATATTAGGAAATACACCACCAGCCTTTTAGCCAGGGTAAAAATTAAAAATTCGATATGTGCCGAAAATGCTCTACCTGCCACACTGGTGATGATGCTAAAATTACTAATGGGAGTGAAATTTGTTCAGCTCCTCAAAGAAACTGCAAGTATATACCTGTGATATATTAATATAATTTGAATAAAGAATATTAACTCCTGAAAAGCCTTACTAATGAAGTATGGAAGTATCATTTTCAAAACTCGTAATTACCCCCCGAACGGCTCAATAGTTCATAGACGTTAAAACATCCCACTCACGACAGTAGAACCTTTCACCTTCTTAGACATTTCACATGATTGAGATGGGATAACCACAAAAACATTCCAGTTTTTTGAAGTGGATAATCGACAAACCTCATCGAACCCAACTTCAATACACAACAGGCTCATTGTGCATTGAATGGCATCGATGTGCTGCTGTAGGGTTGCATCGTCTGCCACCAAGATCGCTGCTCTGAAAAAAGGAAGTGTTGGAGCCGAGAAAAATTGAGCGCTGCTTTATCCGTGGTACGTTGGAGTACTTTCTGCTGTGAGAATGAAGCCCGAAGAACAATTCAGGCCATCGCTCACTGTTCTAAATACAAGAAAAATGCCGCATGGTTTTCTGCGAACAATTAGGGTGGGTGCTGTATCCGATTTATGAACAGCGTGACCATCGCCGTGTCCACCATTGAGAAGTATGAACGTTTCACATATGAAAAAAAAAACGAGCCGCCTCAACTCACAAAAAATTACACTGGTTGAAATGCGCAGATGAGGAAAAGAAAATCGGCAACACCAGTAGCATCACCTTGGCGCAGAGCAAAAAAAGCGATCGCTAGCTTGAATCCAATGGTGTTGATAGAAAAGTCGATTTCGATGAACAAATCGATCCAAGAGGATATAGGGGAAGCGATGTTCATGAGATAGCGGACAGGCTCCTATCGTTCTTTTACTTCCAACAAATGATCTCTTTTTGATGTTATAGTTACGTGTATCTAGACGTAAATTAACGTTAAATAGAACTTAGTCCAGAGCTTCGCAAAAAGAAGCGGGTCTCTTGCCTTTAACTATACTTCCGAAACTTGGATTTGCACCGAGAGATTGGTATGCGATTGCGACAACACGAAACCTTCCCATACAAATAGGCAGAAAGAACTCTAAACTCTAAGGCTTAGAGAAGACTGAGAGTTCTATGGTGAACTTTAAGCAGCCGAACATTATGTTGATCGGTTTTGCCAAACGATTTTGCGACATTGAATCAGGAAGATTACGGAGTGAAGTCAAAAGGACATAAAAACAGCATTAGCCTAATAACGTTCATGCTAGGTCTGGTCAACAGAGTCAACGATGAACAGTTGATATATGTTGATAGACGACAGTTGATATATGTAGGTCGATACATCATAGGACGTCTAAATATCTAAGTTTGGAGCATTCAAGCCAGGAAAGACACTATTGTATGCATCTAGTCGATAGTGGAACTAGCAGGCTTTCAGAACTACATTCTATCCAGAATTCCAAAAAGAGACTGTCTGAGGATGAATCAAAACAATTTCAGACCGATGAAAAAATGGGAAGAATGAAAGTAAGAGGGTCTATTGAGCCAAAAGCCCCCCAATGCCTCTGATTGGTGCTTGGCTGATGCCCAACATTCCAATAAGAAAGCTGGGTATGTACGTACATACCGCTAAGCAATTTATGGTCTGACGAGTTGGGCTATTCACACTAGCGCGCGCATTACATGTCCAAGACCGCTAATCTACGACGAAATCATTCAGCGAAATGTTGGATTATCAAAAAGCGATAGTTCTCTCTAAATTTGAACGCTGAACTGCTTTGAGAGTATAAACGCTAAACGCTTGATATATTTCATTTGAGCAAAATTACTGGTGGTTGATCATGGCTCCGTCCACCTCGATGCAGACCCTTCCCATTATAAAATCTCCACCACCCCGTTTTTAATTGCTCCTAACCATTTTCTCCACATCCCAGAAAATTTTTGAAGAGTAATGAATTTTTGGTTCTACCCCGCCTTTCTTTGCCAACTCCGCTCAATTAAAGGATTGAATTACACTTGTTCCACAACTTCTAACCGCTTTTTCCACCGTTCTAGTGCGGTTTTGAACAGAATTATAATCTTTTGATCTTAGCTCCGCTTACCTTGGTGCCAATCCCGCCCACTTCGAGGATTTGACCACATTTGTTCCATCACCTTTAACCATTTTTCCCGCCTTCTAGAACGTGTCCGAATGAAGTTATATTCATTTTCAAAAAGTATTTTCACCTCCAAGCACGTCCTGCCCATCAAGGACGGGGACTCGCTAAGCTTACCAACGCCCAGTACGCTCCCTCACCTATGCGCATTTTTTCCCCGGCATCTGAACTTTTATGAGACCGAATGAAAAGGGTCTGCCCATAGTCCCGCCCAATGCCGGCGCATGCCCCGTCCCTTAGGGACGGAGCTCTGCTAGGCTCATGTGTGCTATGTTGCACTTCCTATGCTCAACCCATTCCAGACTTGACCCGACTTCTCCATGTGCTTCTTCAGGTTATATGGAATTTCTGTACAAACAGACAGAGAGACAGACGCGAGTGTTTCATACATAGTAAGGATTACGCAAGACCCGTCTATAATTGTGAACGGGCATCCCATGCAGAGGATCGGGAGACGTCTTACAATTTAGCTTCCATTATCCAGATGAAACGAACCGGTAAAGCATCAGTGACATATCATGAATGTGTTTCCGCATGAACATTTGGTCGGCTCGTGAACACTTCTCGACCGTCAGCTGCACATCAGAAACATCCAAAACATAAGCCAGATGGGACAGGTGGGACAAATTATCGTGTCTAAAAGAAAAAACCTTTCATGAAATGCGTCCTAGAGGTGACACCAGAATGCCCTACCACCTTTCTTGAATAGCTGAAATGAACCCTCACCTATCAAGCAGTGTATGGAAGATTTGCTGTGTTCCTAAACGCACTTGAGGATCACTCACCAACGCCAGCTGGATAAGAGTGTGAAGGAATGAATCTGTGAATACCGTAGCCAAATATGCGGTACGGTATTTCGTCGCCACCTGAATCGGACTTTTACGTATTGGTATTGTTATATCATTCTGTGTATTCTAATTATTGTGTAGTTGAGCTGTAATACACTAATGCGTGCGTGATAATAATTCCAATTCTACTTCCACACTACACCCACTCAGAGCACTAGTCTTTTCGCCCACTCCTTTCTACTCTGAGGCTGGTGAATTCTATTAATATCCATTACAGTTATCTAGTCAATTCATGCTTTCTCCTAACTTTCTACGACCAATCTAGTGATTTTGGAGCAACCTACCGAATTTCGAACAAAACCCGCCCATTGTGCGAAACCGCGCATCATGAAAATTTTTCGAAGAAGTTTTTGCTTACGGTTCTGGGGTAAGTTTGTGATACATAATTTTAGACAAATAATGTAAATGATGGTACATATGGCGCAAAGGTGGCGATCTACCCTAAAATTGCATTGATAAGAGCGGTTGAAACTACCGGTGAAAAATGAATTGGAATGAAATTGAAATTGAATGCAGTCACCCTCAAACTTGATGGATGGATAAATTAAACTTCGAAGAAGAAGTTAAGAAGAAGCTTCATCCTTCAACTCCAAACCCCGCCCACTTAATGAACAATTCATATAGAAAAATAGCGATCCATTAAAATCGCTATTTTCTATATAAATTGTTTATTAAGTGGGCGGGGTTTGGACTTAAGGGGCGGAGCTTCTTCTTAACTTCTTCTTCGACGTTTAATTTATCCATCCATCAAGTTAGAGGGTGACTGCCTTCAATTTCAATTTCATTCCAATTCATTTTCATCGGTAGTTTCAATCGCTCTTATCTATGGAATTTTAGGGTAAACGAGAAAATCACCGCATTTGAGAATCGTAAGCCTCCGAAGAAGTAGTAAAATCAGGGGCTAGACGCATGAAAGGGGTATCTGAGCTCTCTCAATATGTGCACCATATACGTACACCTGGCCACCATAAGCTGCCACGCGCATCGTGCGCCTCTCGGTGCCAATAGTGCAACCTCAACAACCTCAACAACGCCGTAAGATCTAGTACGCCGTAGGCCCGCCTTTGGATGTATAGGTCGGCTAAGCCGGTTCCGGGGCCTTTACAACGCCCTATCAAAGCGTTTTTCGACTCGAGAGCATCCCTTGTGCTATCCTTGACGGTCATACGTTCACTATAGAAAGAAATCTCCGAAACAATTTTTATCGTGAAGTGCGCTTTTGACTCTACCGTCTACTACCATTCGTGTTGCGCATGCGAACACGTGCATTATATGTTCATCTACTGTGGGATTACTCAGAGGGAAGTTTGATGTTTCAAAAAAGCTAACTCTCTCTGGATTTCAACGTTGTGGGACCAATTTGAGTGCATCCCACTCGATATATCTCAAATGAGCGGAACTACTAGTATTCGATCACGGCCCTGCTCACCCCATTCAGACTCATCCCATGGCAAAAATTTGGCCAAATTTCTTTTAGCTAGCTCTATCATTTTCTCTGCATTCTAGAACGTATTTGAACTCCTGGTGTTAACCCCGCCCAAGCTAGTGCAAGGTCTGCCAAGTCTAGGATTGGACCACATCCCCTCTATCCTCTCCAACCACTACTACCGCGTTCTAGAACGTTCCTAAACAGAGTACTAATTCCTAATCTTCGCCCCAATCACCTCAGCGCAAATCCCGCTTACCTCAGGGATCTGTCTACACTTCTTCTGGAATATATAACCACATTTCGCCGTGTTCTCGACATTTTAAACAGAGTCATAAGTTTATCATAGCCCCGCTCCCCTTGAGCAAACCCCGGTCACCTCAGGAGTTCGTCACTTCTTCAGCTATTGAACCACTTTTTCCCGCGTTCCAGCACGCTTGTGATCAGAGTTTATATATATATATATATATATATATATATATATATTTCTGGAAGTACTTCAAGCAGTAAATTATTTCGCTAAAGTACCTACCACTTCGGTGAAACTGCCCACTGCGAGAACGCTTCACCGCTGAGTCCCCTTCATTTTTGATCCACCCCCCTCCCTTGCTCATTTGGGCTGTTCATAAAACCGGCGCCGGAAAAGATTAACTATCGTAAAAATTAATCGCAGGCTGTAATTAAGAAGTTTTGCCCGTGACACCGCCTACGCACATCCCGCCCCCTGGGGGCAGAGCTTCACTACGCACATCCCGCCCCCTGGGAGCAGAGCTTCACTACACTCACGTGTGCTATATTGATCTTGTCCTATACCCAACACGTGCCTTCTCAGTCAATATTGAATTTTCGTACGAACAAACAAACAGAAAGGCAGACAGGCTGGCAGACGAGAACGCGATATATAGGGAGTCCCAAAACTGTGGGCACCAAAATTCAGGAACCTTTTAGGCTTACATGATTCATTACATTCGTTTCACTCGCTATTGATTAAGTGCCGAACTACTCAACTTTTCTGGCAATATGCATGGTTACTGAAGTGAATTCCCAATAACTTTTAGATGACAGAAGCTAATTCAATGGCTCTAGCTATCATTAGCAAGCGAGAGGTCATTATTAAATTCCTACTGTTCCCTATAACATCCACACAGAAGGTTATCAAACGACACAGAGAAAAGATTCAATCAAAGACAAACCAAAAAGGTGCAGAAAGGTAGGTGCATCCGAAGATAGGACAATTGGAATGGTCCACTCGCGCGTCAATCGTGATCCTGAGCGATCCATCAAAAAGATAGAAAAGGAGCAGAACTTATCAAACCTGCGGTGGTTCGGAATGCCGAGCGAAGCCATTGCCGTTCCCACTATATGCAGAAATGCCTCTTTATTTCTGATCTCAATAGGCAGTATCACCAGCACCACATCGATCCCGGACGATCGCCGCTTTCCTCGAGCGGATACCAGTAACGTTTCCATCCGTCTCTGTACGGGCTAGAATGGTCCAGTGAATCGTCCTTCAGAGACACGTGGGCCCGCATTCTTTCGTTCAGAGCTCTCGTGAAGAATCTGACCATATCGTTGGCGGCCGTCCTGGAGTTCGCTTGACGTCCTGAGGGGTCCAGTCAGTAAACGCACTAGTCCAACGGTCGCCACTATATCCCATAACGTGCCCGGCCCACCTGATCCTCGATTTCTTGACGTAATCAACGGCATCCCTGATCTTCGTTCGATGACGGAGCTCAGAACTCCGGATTCCCTTCTGCACTTGCGCGTGTAGGGAAACTCTGAGCATCGTCCTTTCCAATGCGCCTTGAGTTAAGCTGACAGCATGCTCATCCTGCTTTCGTGGAGTCAAAGTCTCCGAGGCGTACGTTAAAGAAGGAAGGACAACAGTGTCGAAAAAGTGAGCGCGGAGCCGGATGTTCTTTGTCTTCTTCACTACTCCCTCGGTATTCTTACACGCGGAGTGTTTTCTTTTGCACAGCTCCGGGGCTAGGTCGTTCACCATGCTGACTTCCCGACCTAGATATACATAGCTAGAGCATTCGGAGATATACATGGCGTCTGTTTAGCGTGAGAAGAGCGCTACTACTAACCCGTTTTTCATGAACTTCGTTTTCATTATGTTCAATCTTAAGCCGATCTTTCCACAAGCACTCTCAAACTCGGCCAGCATTCGTTCCTCCTGCTCGATATCCGTGTTGTAAGCACGATGTCGTCCACAGAGCGGAGATGTTTTGGACAGCGGCCATCGACCTTCATTCCGAAGTCTTCCTTCCAAAAGACGCATGATATTCTCGAGAGAGGCACTGAAAGTTTGGGCGAGATGATATCGACCTGTCGGACACCCCTCTCCTCACGTTGATAATGATATCCTTGTAGAATGGTGAAATCCTGGTGGTGAAATTGTCGTAGAGCTCACGAAGCCTCCTTATATATCGAGTAGGAACGCCCTACTCGATATATAATGACCACTCAATTACCGCTTCTGTCTCAACGGTACCGAAGGCTTTCTCAAAATCGAAAGTAAGACATAACGGCATTTTGTACACTGGCAATACTTCAATGAGTCTCGTAAGAAAATGGCTATGATTGATTGTGCTGAACCCTCTTTGAACCCTGCTTGCTCGCATGCCTGTCCTTTATCTAATATTTTGCCAATCCTGTTCAGGATGACGCGAGAGAAAAACTTGTAGCTTACAGACAGCAGGCAGATTGGGCGATCATTGCAATCATCGACTGGATCTCCCTTTATACAGCAACACAGCCTCGCTAGTTTTCCACGACTTAGGCACTTCGCATTCCGATAGGTACCGCGTGAAGAGCCCAGCTCTGACGATAACTGGTGAAGACTGGAATGGAAGAACCGAAGAAGCGTGAAGAGCTCAGTTCTGACGATAACTGGTAAAGACTCTTCAGATGTTCTGGTTGAATCCTATTGGAATCGAGTACCGTGCGATTCTTCGTCGACGGGATGGCATATCGAATTTAGGATGGAAGAACCGAAGAAGCGATATATTTGTCGTGTCCAAGACGGTGGCCGTCGAAGAGATCCGGGTAATATCGTAAATGACCTTTTCAGTTGCTACGAGACGAAGTACTGTTCCGTCAGGACCACAGAGAGAAGTCATTTTGGTCTTGTAATAGGCGAAGTTCCGTCGCGCTTTGCGAATGCTCTTTCCGGTCTCAGTGGCTTCGTCCATATCTGCTGCTGTTCTCTCTCGGATTTTCTTTTTTCGCTTCTCTGCATAGCTTCGCAAATAAGGACCGAGTAGTTTGCATTAGGTGTCCGGAAAGTTTGCGAAAATTTATTGTTTTTTCCTATACAAAATAACTACAGCAGTAAACTTAGATCAATGTTAAGATAGTAGAACTTCTTACCCAATGTCTCCCCATATGGGAGTAATATAGGTTAAGGCCAGATGATTATGTGAGGATTGGGTAGCCAGGTCATACCAAGTCTTTCCAGCTGATCTCACTATAAAACATCCGGTTAAGCAGAGGAAAAATGAGTTCATGTCTTTGTTGGCGTGAGCGCTTCGCATTGTAGCGAGCTGTGGCCTTACGTCCACTGGCATTATTGTGATTTCCGGTGTGCATTTTCATATGACATCTAGTTTTTATTCTGAACAATGATGAAGTCAAGTCGATTGATGTCGTCGTACGCTTACAGTCGCTTATAACAAGCACTGTCCCACACTGGAGCTCCTGCTTAGCCAAGGAATGGGCGATATTTGCAAAGAATCCTGCTTTGAGTCTTGCTTAGAACGTCATGAACGACGAATCGAGAGTAGAGATCGTCTTTTCCATTTTCTGCGACTTTGAGGAGGGTCGCTCCGACGGGAGGCCAGGAAATTGTCGGTATTCGAGTACAGTGGACGTTCGCTTCGACAAACTTGGCCGAAGCAAATCTCTTCTCAGAGAAAGCGATCGGGCCATTTATGGTAGCCGACAAGAGAGGTTCACTGTTGCCAATCAGTCACCATATCTCATTCCAATACTGAGAATCAACGCGATCCGTTTCGTAATGGAGAAGCAGAAGGCTCTGGTACTCGTATCGATGGCACATCCTTCGGTCGACGATTACTTACTTCGAATGACCACATCAAATATCGATCAGCTATTAGTATTGATTCAACAATGCCATCGAATCTATGGTCCTTCTTTAGCGCATTCGCGAACACCATGCTTTCCAAATGAGAGGCAAAATTTTTTCAAAAGTTTCCGGACATCCAATAATCCTACTTTGTATAATTCGCTAAGTGTGTCTGTTGGTGAGGTGGATCCAAGTCGTTCAAACTTGGTAGGAGTAAAGGTGGCTGAATGGAAACACCTGTGGCAGATGCTAGGACCGCACTCCGCCCACAGAGGGCGGGACATGCGGGGCAGAAATTTTAGGTCGCAAATTCATAACTCCCATTTACGTGGACCTATTGCGTTGAAACTTGGTAGGAGTACAGGAAGCAGGATAGGAACAATGACGGTAGGTAATAAGCGGTGAAAACAATTGAAAGGAGTTGATAACGAGCCTTGAAAGGCGAGAGCCACAGGAACCTAGTTACTTCGTGTTAACGGCAGAGCTTTGGCACTCCGGTAAGGGATGTGATCAAGAAGGGACCGTAGATGTTTATTGATAGAGTCTAATAACAACTGTTAGAGACTGATAGAAATAGAATGGGAGGCGAGAGCCAATAAGTCCCCAACGTCTTTCATATTAACAACCGAGCATTCAGTAGATAGTGCAGGATGTGAAGGGACCAAAGTTAAATGGTGATAAGGACAGATAATGACAAGCGAGCAAGCATTGCAATCCTATTCGTGTCAACACTGGAACCTTTTCAATGACGGCAGTGTAGAATGTGACGTGGTCGTAGGTACTCTGTGACAGGAATTGATAACAACTGATAAGAAATGATAAGGGAACTTAGAGAGCAAAAAGGTATTTATGATCAAACACTGACTCTTTAAAATGTTTTCTTCAATAAGACGGGTAAATGCAGTAATAGCGACCGATCAAAGACATTTCTCCATAACGGAATGAGAATTTTGTTCACTTCTTGACACTGAACTACGACCGTTACGCAGTAAGCTTTTTGACAAAATTAAGTACAACAATTCCTTTTTGTTTTGTAACATATCATTTTTGACTGAACTCATCTGACCGCTAATGATTTGGGATTCCCAATTGATGAAAAATCCGTGAAGAAAATGTTCCACTGATAACGACATCTGTGATAGGCATTATTATCCATTTTTGGGTACCATTCAAGACATTGATTGTCAATCAGTTAAGCCATCAATGTGACACAGTTTCGAGATGAAGAACAATGAATCGAGACTTCTAATTATAGGCATAAGCATCGGCACGTACTGAGTACCAATGACATTGTACCATTGGTCCTGTGTCAAATTTTGTCTTCGTGGACGTCTCCTGTCAACATGGACCCACAAGTTCAGAGTTAGAAGGAGTACCGGCGGCGAGATGAAAACACTCATGAAGGGTAGCAAAACCAGACTGCTCACAATGAGCGGGGTTTGAGCATAAATTAATAACTCCTGTCCCAGTGGATCTAGAAAGTTGGAATTTTGAAGGATACATGCGGCAGGATGTGGACAGTTAGAGCGAGTAGCAGGACCGATTCACCCACAGGGGGCGGGTACTGCACGAAAATTGTCACTTTGGTCCTAGGCCGTTCAAACTTGGTAGGATTACTGGAAACATGATGGGAACACGGGAGACGGGCGAGAAACGATTTTGGGTAATCGATTTGCTGCACGCGGTTGTCGCGGACCACTCATTCGCCGTTATTACAGCTCTAGCGTTCTCCATACAGCTCAATCGATATGCGATCACTATTTTATGCATAATTCTACTATTAGTACTTTTGTTCCTGTATTTCTTACCTATTGTTGCATCGTGCTACATTCCTTCGCGCGCTACGCCCCTCTAACCGCGACGCGACCGTTTCGTTCCTAACGCACCGTACCGTGGGAACGCTTATGGAGGATGGCAGGACCGGGCTCCGCCCACAAGCAGCGGAGTTTGTGCGAAATGTTTAAGCGGAAATTCATAACTCCTTTCCCCGTGGACCTAGAACGTTCGAATTTGGTAGGGGTAATGGGAACAGGATGGGAACACTGTAAGAGGCAGGACCAGACCCTGCCCACGGGGGGCGGGGATTGCGCGAAAACTGTCAATCTGGCCCTAGAGCGTTCAAATTTTGTAGGAATACAGGCGACAGGATGAGAACACTTATTATAGGTGGCAGGAAAGAACCCCGCCCACATGGCCCAAGGGCATTTGACGTATTCCAACTGCACGGAAATTTCACGGAGGTACGCTTCCTTAACCCATCTTTTTTTTCTGAATAATCGCCTTTGTGATGTTATACGATGTTCTATTCGGACACAGCAAAGATGGCTTATAGAAAAATCGCTCACAATTCGGAGCTAATTCTGAGGGTGTAGAGGTTTCGAAGAAAAATGAGAATTCAAAGTGTTATTTACGCATAGCAAATTTCTTACAGGAAGGAGGAGCGCCCGGCGAAGCCGGGCGATACCATAAGAAGGAGGGAAGCCTGGCGTTAGCCGGGCGGCCCGACTGGTTACAGAGTAACCAACTTAAGAAGTCCACTCAATCAGCACACAAAACCAAGTTATTAGCACGACAGCAATAAGGTTTACGTTCTATATCGTTTTTTTTTGCCATTTGGGACGTTACGTAAGGGTTGTGGGCAATATTGCACAGATGCGGATAGTGCTAATAGGACCAATACAATACCAATTCAATAATAACAAACCCAATACCACGCGGTTAGTGACTATCTAGTAATAAAGTTTCATTTCCACATAACTTTTTTCTCATTGTAGTCAATATTTCTCATGACATCACGCCACTGGGACACCTTTACAAGCCCGACGTTCTCTAGCCCTTTATATGTACATGGTATGCAATTCACTCATTCCAAAACCAACCCTTTGAGAGGAGTGAATAGAAAAAGAATCAAATCGGATGGATGAACTAAAAGAATAGGAAAACACCAGCCATCACTCACCTTCAAGAGTGTCTTCACAAGAACGTGCTGCAGGAATTCGTCACCCTGTTTAACGCGTTTCTCGCCCAAATTTGGAATGTTTCCAACAGTGAACATCATCATTTCAACCTTAGAAGTTCATATCGTATAAATTATAATACTTCTTACAAATAATACTACCATGATACTGGAATACCCAATAACTCTCTGAGTTTTGCTGTTTAGTGACATTAAGACAAAAAAGTGTTATCAATCGTAGGGGTTGTCCGATCAAGTTCAACAGTGATGGGGAAAATTTCCATAAGAGTACAAGGAAAAGTCATATTCATCCACAGCTTCACTCTTACGTGTTTTCGAAACAGAAAGAGATGTATTACATTTGGGTAAAATCTAAGTTTGGGATAAGAGAGCTACTGTGGCGATTGTGTTCATCAGAGCAAGTTATTCGTCACAAGAATTGAACTTGATTCTATCATCATTAATACCTTTACTCTATTTTGTAAAATACCTGAATGGTGTAAGCCAATAAGGAAGAATTTACAAATAGCCGGAGCTTTGAAAAAATGGCAGCTGGTCTTTAACCATGCACCTTTTGATAGTCCGGTAACGCATTTGCAAAGTCGCCCATAGCGTTGATTAGTGCCTCCTGGTACATTTTCTCGGCTTCGGAATCTTTACATTTCTCAGATCGCTCGAAATCAACAGATGTTCGTAGATGTTTTAAAAGAGAGTTGAAAATGGACAACAGCAGAGGACCTGAAAATTTTAATTCGTGGTAGACACTGTTGTTGAATTATACACTACTTCTTCCATATCCGCCAGAGATCTGACAATTTACATGTTCCCATTACTTGTGTAAGCCAAGACATTCGACACAAACAGCTAGATGTTCAACTCTCTATACGGACTCAGAGGAATTAGAATGCCATAATCTACCATACAGGCTGATCAAGATCAGCTCGCTCAATCCTTCTCCATTGAATCTCCTTATTGCCAAGTCGACCAACAATCATTGAGCTCACCTATACTTGTTCCAGCGATTGATACAATATTTGACAGCACAGTAGCAATTCCGATGCGAATAACAGCATCAGCTGTACTCATTGAGTCAAGATGATTAATGAGCTCCTTAAAAAAGTGGAATCAAAAATGTGAAAGTTTAAAGGAAGCTACACATTACGAAGAAAGTTAAATATCCAGCCATGTGGAGTACCCCGTCGCGTATCGTAGAAATGCGATGGAAGATGAGAGCGTGCAATCTGTGAGTTGGGGAGTCATTTATTTATTTACATTTGCTGGTCACTTTCCTCAAATTCAATGCAGTCTTGAGCATCAATAATAGAGCAGTCATCCCAAACAATCGGGCCTCTTAAACATAAAAACAAAGTTGAAACAGAAAGCAACAATCAAAACCAATAAAAAAAAAGGCAGTCAACGAAAAAGTCCTTTCGACTTTCCAAGAGGCGGGGTCAGTACAGTAATCGCAGTTCGAGGCCGCGAGACAATTAAAAAAGATTGGCCGCATGCCGCAAAGCGAACATGGGAAGTTGGGGAAAAGATCAGTCACCTCCAAATAAGCACAATACTTACCTGGATTACAAAATAACTGTTTTGGCTCTGAATGCTGTAGATAATCGCTTTAAAAACATGGATAGCAAACAGCGGCGGCGGTTTCCAGTGGGCATGCAAATCCATATGTTTAAGTACCGGTTCCATCACTGCACGGAGTGAACCAAAGGACGCCTGCAAAACTTGAGTTTTCACCCAGGTAAAACATCAAGGAATCTTGTACAATGTCTTGGGTAATTCTGAGACGGAAGTATTGGTTGAGAATAGTGTATCGGAGGTGAAGGAAGCGAGGAAATTCGCCGATCCGCGGAAAATGAGGCATCCCAAAAGCCATGAAAGTAGATGTTGTACGAGACACCGTGATGGAAATGACGCGTTTGGACGAGATTTCAGCTGTTGCGATTGCGCAAAGAGCTGACTGCATCGAGCCAAAGCTGTCCAGAATTGCCGATCACTATCGCTAGGGGTTATGACAAGCTATTTGAACTTCCTACATTGGTTCTCCTAGTGCAGCCTCTACATCGCCGATGGAACTCGTCCACTTGGGTGTGACATTCACACGACACAATCTCTGGCCCCTTATTGTGCCCTATTCAGGACGTTTCCGACCTTATGGTATGGCACGTTTGGTATAAAGCTGAGCCTCGAACTGTGGGAAAGTATAGGAAACCATCCTCAATTTCGACTGTGCCTTTACCAGCACTCAAGCGCTTGATAAGTCGTTTAACTGCTACACACTTAGAAGAAAGCGATAAGTTTACTTATAGAAACTAGCTTGTCCTCATAAATTATAAACCTTCTTCGCAGGAAGGGCCAGGCTTTTGCCGTAGGGAAAGGCAGAAGTTCATGAATAGAAGCATTCGAGTGAATTATTGACTGCAAAGTAGAAGAAGTTGAACTAGCCAACCAATATTTTGTAATACCTTTCCCATAAGTTCACGTAAACATCGATCCGACAACGCTCGGGGACTTTCCTCACGATATGGATCATCATTAAAAGAGGTAAATAGTGTTGACGACTTGCTGGATTCATCCAACTGGTCTACAAAAAGCGATACCTTTTCTAATGAAAATTTCTCTCACGCTCAATTGCGGAAAAGACTGCTTTCTCAAGGTTTGTACCTGTCTCTTGGAGATTGAACAGAATTGACGGCACAATTTTGTCCATATGCTGTTTTTCCCAGATATTCGGATGCAAGTCGTCTGTCACTGATTTCCATACCACTCCTTAATTATCAAACCATAATAGCCTCACAGCCAAAAACTATTGCGGACACAAAAAAAAAAGCTCGCACTAAAAAAACAGCGCATCCAATAGCTCTTTGAGTAGCAAATTTTCGAAGACGGCGTTTATTCCGTCAAAACTGTCAATAAGCTTCAAATGTCAGATAGGAGACAACCCTATCGCTTCCTACATTAGCCAGGCAACTTACCGAGAGGTCCTTCAAATTCCTCTGGAATTTGAATAAAAACTTAAGTAATCTAGGAATGCTGTCTACGGATATAGAAACTAAATCTATTGAGTGATTTTTCTGAAAAAAAGGATACGGGGCTAATACTCTGCTCATCCACACTGAGGGGGATAGTGTCAGTTGAACTGCTGCAGTTGCAGCATTGGCATCAAGCGCCAAAGTGGAGCAGTGAAAGTGCTCTCGTCTCTCCAACCGAAAATCTGCGTTCGCTCTGCGCCGCTGCTGAAATTTTCGCATAGTGGAACTTTTGTCCAATAGAACTTCCATTACGGTTTCTGCTATCACGTTTATTTTTACTAGCTTCTAACATGTTTATTCGAGTAAGCGCTTCTTTCGACCACCACATGGGCTCTGCACTCTAATGTGAGAACAAAGATCGCATCGACCAAAGATGTATTGTTGATCTGAGGTGCACCTCCCAAGTACGTGGCTATATGCTGTGAAGTTTTAGGAGGTAACGCGAAATTTCAAGAGCGTTCCGCTCGCTAGAGTCCCTCATCTGAACTGTTGATCCAATTCAATCCTCAATGCTCATCATTCTCGGTGTCTGGGCTTTCCAGAACGAAATGTAAGTTGTCTATTGCACTCAGGAGCCTATTCCGCTCCCTAAAAACGGGGTTTCCCTGAGCTCAAGTGCACTCCGTTGGTCTTCCCCGAGGCCCACCCATCCCAAATTTGACCCGACTTCTTCAGGTGCTTCTTCAGGCAATACCGAATTTCGGGACAGAAGGAAGCAAATTATCAACACCTAGCAAGTAGTGATGATAACTTCATAGGTGGTAAGTAATGGGGATAACTCCATGTCCAGCACCTATGAGGCGTTACTTGTCTCTTTTATTTTTCCTTCCGCACTTTCGTTGAACTGAACTACGATTACGAGGAAACGGTTAAGAAACCATAAGAAACCAAACTAAGAAATTTTCTCCACGGCACCGGCCACCCCTATGCACATCCAACCCTTTGAGGACGGAGCTCCGCTGAGCTCACATGTGCTGTGTTGATCTTGCTTCATACATAACCCGTTCCAGACTTCCCGACTTCCAGACTCGATTTCTTCAGCTGTTTCTTCACGTGACATCGAAATTTGAGCCCGTAGACAGAAAATTGTCCTCTATGGAACCATGGCTGACCTCGAGCGCCATTCAGTAGAAATCTGACATGCAAAAAGATTTTCATATAGAATCCAGGTAACTTATTTTTCTTTCAACTTCTTCGCTTATCTCCGAAGGCCGACAGATTGTTCTGCCTGCCTTTTCTGGACCCAATAGTCGCAAGCACATAAGTCACCACATTTGATCAAAAAAAAACTGGTTTGAAAGCTCATGGTTTCCCTCCTTTTCGCTCGTCTTCCATAGGTGATATCCGATCTTGATGAAATAAACTTGTTTTCAAAACACGAGGCAGTGTTGCTCGTTTGAACATCCAAACGATAGAAGATTGTAGACTCCTCTGTCTCCACCATAAAATTGAAGCTCGTGGGGTACGAGGTTCCCTTCGCGATGTGATGGTCCGATACATGGGTACTGTCATCACGTGAACAGGGAAAATCGTTGTAATTCTCCTTCACCCATTCGGCTTCCTCACTCCACAACGAAGTTTATGAAGGAAAGCTCTGCAGTATCTTTTGTTTGTTGCTATTAGGTTGGAAGATAAGTGCAACGCTTTGCACAAGTTTTCGAATTAAATGTTCGTCAATTTTACTAGTAGTTATTTTGTAAATTTGTAATTTGATATTTTTTGTTGAGATTTACATTTATTAATTTCACATTTGAAGAGGTCTTTGGTTTTTTCGTGGAGGAGCATGACCGAAGTGTTGCAGGAATTATCTTCCTACCTAATAAATGGTGTTCACGTTATTTCGCAAGAAGGCAAAATAGCTTCAACAAATAAGATAACAGTGTTCTGGGCATAAAATCTCGTGATATGTTGAAGAACGATTTCATCCGATGAAAGATGTAACATCTTTCTTGGCCAAATTTCCCATTTTTCCTAACAGTTTCTCCCTTCCCTTGACAGCAGCAATCAAGTATGTACAGAAAACTACGAGTGCCAATTGAAACAAAATTAGAAAAAAATCAAGATAAAACTAAAAATACCATACCTCGGAGCCCCTTTAATCCTGCACTACGGATCTTTCGCGAATCTTCGCCGTATGTAGCATGACACATTTGGGAGAACTTTGAGATGAAGAAATCATATTGGCGATGGTACGACGGACTACTTTCTTCTATATTCGAGAACGTAACGAATGAGTCAGTAGCTAGTTGCTGGAAATGCTGACTATAAGGCATCTTTCACTATGAAAAAATCTTGTATCCATACTGCTCTCAGTCGTCAACAGATCTTCCTCAGGTTGATGACTTCTGCTTCACTTAAGGCCTTTTCAAGCGTTCTAGTTTAATAAAAACGCGCTCGAAGGCGCCTAATGGCAACGCGACTCATATGAATGGCAATCGGTCCCGCAGCAAATTATGAACTTTTAACATCAAAAAATTAAATTCGTCTGAAAACTTGAACGAAAATTGAACTTTTAACAAACGATTGGAAAGAGTAAAAAAAAAAACACTGCATGAAAAGCAGGTCTGAAAAGTCGAAGACTAAGCAGCAAATGCGGAATCTACAGAGGTTTAATTAATTTACAAAGAAGAACAATGAAAACAGACATTTTGAATGTGTTGATTATGAGAAGGATGGGTTAGTTTCAGCTTGATTTATCGACCTGCAAAATTTCTGAAGGGGCCGACAGCGACTACGGAGGTTGCTACTGTTAAGATCACCGAATTTTACACGAAAAGTGGAAGTCTGTTGCGCTCCATAATTTCAACATAATTACCTTGAAGACAATTGTCATAACTAGCATCATGATCAAGAAAGTTTAGTGCTTAACTTGAGGGAAGCAAGTAGCAGAAACCGAGAAAACCAGATCACAATTGGTTTCTCTGAGAAGGGATGATTCAAAACCCTGAAATGGGACCTACTTAAGATCTCAAAAACGTCACTGCATGAAACCAGAAATGAAATTATGATTCTATACGAACCCTAACTTCTTGTTATACCCTATTGTCCACATAAAATAATAGCTTCGCCGCCTACTGCATGAGTTTTAACGAGAGGCGAACAACAGCAAAGAAGCGGAAACATCTGAGAAAAGAGAAAAGAGGAATGCTTTCGATAAAAAGAACCTCCATCCTCGGATTGTTTGACTCCAACAGTTTCTGAACCATCTTCAAATGATTCTCGCTAAATTGCGGCAGACTGGGGGAGCTGTGGCAGGACTGAAGCAGCTGATCCATGGCTTCGACAGCAATCTAGATGAGTCTTTTATTGGTTCCTCATTTACGGCATAGGACATCTTGTATGGAATAAAAAAGAGAAAGACAAGAACACTCATCAGGAAAAGAGTTTAAGGGGAAATCGCTGAGATAAAAAGAAAGAAAGGCAATGGTAAGCAGCAGTAGGCACACTATAAAATATGCATTGAGGGTAGGTGCAGTTCGTTGTTCCACGACTAAGCACAACCAAACCGAACAAAGACAATTTGAATTCGTCACCCTTTCCCTTTTTTCCTCAAATTTTACCAGTCGGATTGCCCGACAACTCTGGTTCTACTCCATTCTATACCATTTTTGAAATGCCCTACTCATGCCTTTTTCCCCCGTTCGTTCTTGGCATGAAGAACCGGTCAGAAACAATGTTCGAAAACCGTTCTATCATATCAGACCGTCCCATTTTCCCGCTTAGAAGCGCATTGCAATTTTTGCATGAAAACACCAATTTCGCGCACGCTGCGGTAACTGTGGTGTTTGTTTCGTTCCTAAAAATGCTTAATCCCTACTCCTTAGCTGACTCTGTGCACATTTTTCGACCCATGATCGGTCCACTATGGACCCTCGTCTCTATACCCATGATACGTTGACCTGTTTCTGTGGTAGCTTCTACTTACCTTTTCCTGGGCTCACGAACATCTCGAAGGGTAACACAGATTTCTGGTCAGCACCTCCCAATTTGGTGCTCACTAGCCTACCATGAAAATCCTTGCTTTCGTAACTAGACACCGCTCGCTTTTCCCCAACTCTTCTGTTCAATTTTAGCTCGACACTGCATTTTTTTCAGGTGCTACGCTAAAGTCGCGCACGCTTGACTCTTCGAGAACGGAATCCAGCATAAAAGCACGGTTCCCCTGTTGCTGTCTCGAGTCGCTTCCCCACCTCTCGATCGATGTCACGTTAGACGAGCGTCGAGGCAATACAGATTGCGATTATTCATGCGTTCTAGGACCCACACGTAATCAGCTGAATGCCGAGTGATGAGGCGATTTTTTCTCCCATTCTTTTTTCCTCTGTTATTCCTTTTGCTGCCGCGATCCCCTTTTAAATTTCCTTCCCCATCAAGCTGAAAAAGGTGAGTTATTTTTGCTGTAACTAGGGGTACGCAATGGCGCACTGCGCGTAGCTCGTCCAAACGCCGCACTCTTCGTCATTCTTCTGATCTCATTCTCGTCCAGCCCCCTTTTTAACGATTTTTTGAAGCCTTGTTTCACTTCGGAAACACAATCCACGCAGCTCCTTCGCCTCCATCGCACTATTTTCCATTTTGTTTTCCATTTTTCGTCCCAATCTGGGTTACCCAAAATTATCGTGAACTGTGCCTTCAAGTCATGTGCTTTCGAAGCTTAGCTTATTCCTCACTTAATCTGTGTTCCAAATCTGCTAAACGATTCTGGGAACAAAGTTACGGGACCAGTGCCGGGCACAGCCTTAGCTGTGCTCGGCCCCGTGATCCGTTTGCTTCTGTGGTATAACACAGGGCGGCATTGGTCCCGTAACTGGTGGTGCAGCCGGTAGGATTGTGCACTGGTGGGCATGACGTCAAGGTCCGATTCCTCGGTGCACGCGCTCATTTCGCTTTTCCGTGAAATGAATCCTAACGCTTGCAATGCGATTCCGGGCTCAATGTTCGGCATCGACAAAGCTCCCTCACAATACAGGATTCCGGGGAATAGTAATCCGATAGAACCTTTTTTCACCTATACTAACCGGATAGATATGCCTCTCTACCCCAAACAGTCAAGATGGTGTCCGAAATTTTCAACACTGTGCAATTATGGTAGAAGGCGGTCAAATGACTAATCTGACCAAAGCCCTCTTTGAGGGGGATAAGGTCCACACATTCTAGTAATGGTGTCTGCACTTTCAAAGCGATGGTACAAGTTACCTGGCATTGGGGAAGAAACACTGCGGAACAAGTTGTACCCAGAACACTGAATCCACCTACAACATGCTTTGAAGTGTCCTCTATGGGCATTCATTGACTTGAAGCAGCATCCAGTGGAAATAACTATCGTGCAATGAGATTAATTTTATGATAACTTATTCTTCCAACTTATCCACTAATTTCCATAGGCAGACAGATCTGTCCACTTGCTCTGCACTGATAGTTACAACCACATAAGACATCGAATGTTGTCGATAATGGACCAATGGAAATATAAGGGAAAGTGCGAAAGGCTCATGGCCTCTCGCACTTTCCCTCAATTTTCATAGACGGCACTCTGTCGTAATGATACAAAACGTGTTTTTGTGTAGGAAGTGCGGCCTCTTCTGCCACTCGAAATATAGAAGCCATGGATTCTTCCACCATGTCGTAAAATCGGGGCTCCTGGGCCAAACCACAAAGAAGGCTACGTTCCACTTCGGAACCTCTACATTCCTACAGACGTACTAGGTTTCTATGGCAAAGTTATATGCCCATCGTCGGTGTTGTCATCAGGCGACCGCAGAGGTTAATGTGATTGCATTTCCCGGACTTTTCTTCCTCGCAATGAGTGGCCTGTTCGCATAACATCAAAAAGTGTGACTGAAAAGCTCTTTATTACCGCTTCTTCCTATATAGTGCTCACGTTATGCTACATACATACATACATACATACATACATACATACATACATACATA